GTAACGGATCTGTGGATCAGAGGGCCAGAATCTTCCCAGGGTGTATTTCTGCTGGCCTCTCTAATATCTTGACCAAAACTGGGGTGTGAATTGGGACTCTCATTTGGGACTGGGGAGTGGAAGGCAGTTATGGTTTTGTACCTCTGACAGCAAAGAAGCATTTTCAGTGTGCTGCTCTTGACTAAAACAAGTAAACTCTTTCTTGACAGTTCAGCACTTATGTAATGGGAAGGATGGAAAGGTTTTTCAAGGATCCATATACTTTCAATCCAGACCGATTCAGCAAAGATGCACCTAAGTGAGTTTCTTTTTACTCCCAGGTTGTTAAATATTTAATAAGGATCCATTACAGGAAGATATTTCAAGGGGGAAAAAAATTGACTAAAACTATTTTTCCATTCCAGTATGAGTAAGACTAAATCATTCAAATGCAAATAGAGAGCAATAATGTGCAGCTTTTGTTCAAAAATTCTTTAGACCACATGATACCTTTCAAAAACAGACCAATACTATTGTTATTTAATGTTTATATTCAGATCCAAGCTTTGGGCCAAAACCAGGTTGAATATTTGCATTAATGCAATACAGACATTTAACATGTGACAGCCGTGGCCCCAGGATTCTTGAAGTGTCTCCATATCAGAGAGGGCAGAAGGGGCTGAGGCACAGAAGATGCTGTTCAGCCATGTGGGAGGCAGCCTAAGGCTAGTCAGTGGTCAGGAGTGCAATAGGAGGGATCAGTGACTAAACAGTTAGATACAGAGATCATCAGCTACTTCACAAGTCAGGAGTTTTGCTTCAGCCTAGAGTTAGTCTGGTCTCCTGAACCAAACACCCCCTCCCTCACATGGCTCAGAGCTGCCCAAAGGAGCAATAATTGGGCAGATCGTTACATCCTCATGACAGGCTGGAGAGCATTTGGAGTGTGCTTAACATTCAGCTTTGAAATAAGATTGGCATACATCAAAACAGCTCTGTGAGTTCAGCCATATAATAAGCAGAGATCTCGAGGAAACATGCTGTGGAGCTGTACTGCTGCTCTGAAGCAAAAAAGAGGTAATTTGGAGGCTGTTTTTACAAGTCAGATAGGCTAGGTGATATTTAGACCATTTCCTTGCTGTTGTGATGAAATATTTGCTTGTTTCCTTACAATCAAGTTGTCAGAGTGACAATTTTGAATGTTTTTTTTTGCAGGCCCTATTATTGCTATTTTCCATTCTCTCTGGGATCCCGGTCCTGCATCGGGCAGGTGTTTGCACAGGTAAGCAGAGGCCTGGAACGGCACTTCCATAGCAAGCAGTGGGCCAACTCAGGGTGTGCTGCCATGGCTGGTGGTGGGGGACCAAAGGCCACACTAATGGTGCACTGACCCCCTTCTCTCTAGAGGGAATATCTCCCTCATGCCAATGATGGACATCTCTCAAATGCTGTCACATGAGCACACATCCATGTGCCAAACTGGTCCCATGTCACCCGTGTGCACATGCAGGTGTCTGCAGGGAGGAGCAGCAAGCAGGCTGCACTCCCTCTGAACTGTCCTGGATCAGCCTGCCTGAATCCAAATGTGATGGGAATCACAGTCAACAACCCTTTGCCAGCCAAGGTCAAACACACAGGGGATGTGCAGGGGGTCTTGGGGACCATCCCGTGGCTACCCCTGACAGAATCAAGGCAGGGAAAACGGCAGCTGGCAGAAGGACACAAGCCAGAACTGTCACAGAGAAGGTGAGGAGGGGGCTACATGGATGGAAGGAACAATGTAATGATGTATATGAGCATAGCAGAGAGCATTTCAGGACAGCAGGAGGTCAGCTCTTTGGGTCTGTTCTGTGGGTTAATCTAAGCACCAGTGCTCAGAGCCTTCGGTGTTTTAGTTTTACAGTCTGATTTCCCAAATGGGGTTAATGCATAAACACAAGGACCGATCCTAGTGCCTGTCAGCTGTCTTCAAATCCATGAAGTCCCAGGTTTCCTGCCCAAACTCAGCTGGCTGCATTTAACTTTTAAATCTCTATATTGACAAAGCAGTATAACATAATACACTGACTTTAAGCAGCTGCAGTCCAAGCTCTATATGCTGTCACTGACAATGAATTTGCTTTTCTTCTTAACAGATGGAGGCAAAAGTGGTGATGGCAAAACTGCTGCAGAGGTTTGAATTCCAGCTGGTACCAGGGCAGAGTTTTAAACTCTTGGAGGCTGGAACCTTTAAGCCACTAGATGGAGTAATGTGTAAATTAAAGCCAAGGAGCTCTGCAAGAAGCTGCCAGGCATGACTACTCAAGGAGGGGAGCATGACATGCTACTGTTAGTGTTTCCTCTGATTTGGAAGATCTTGACACTAATCAAAGGTTTGATTTGGCAGGTCCCTTTAGAGGATTACTACACTGAAATTATTTCTAGCCTTCCTCATAATGTACTGAAGAAAACCTTAGGAGAGTCACTCTAGTGAATATTTTCAGTCTGGAAGCATACCCAGAATTGCCAAGCTTGTAATTTTCCTGGGGGGCTATTTGATTCTGACCAGACTTGGAAAAGAACATCCTTTCACTGCAGTATCCCTGGAAATCCACACAAACCTCCACTGGAATCTCAGCTCATAGTTTTCACTAACTTTACTTACAACACAACATGGTCTAAAGTAAACCCTTGTTTGGGAAGTTTTCTACTTACAGAATGAAATCAGAAAAGAGTGGAGCACAGATTTGGGTTGAACTTAGGAAGAGATGTTTGGAGATAGTCTTTTGTCAAAGCAATTTTTCCATTCCTGCTCTAAACAAGAACAATTGATAGGAACAATCTGAACAAAAATATCAGTCTGAGGCCACTACTTCCCCCTGTTGCTCCCACCTCATTTTTATTCAGTCTCTTCCACTTTTCTTCTGAAATTATGCAAAGTGTAGATTGCCAGTCCACACTGTAGAAAGGGAATCTCCTGTTTCCTCCTACCCCTCCACACAGCCTGTGTTCATTCTTCTGAGACACAGTTCTTTGGTCAGGGGAGTCTTGCTGTGTTTGTTTTAGTCTGGATCATTTTCCCTGTCTGGTTTACCACAAAGCTACAGTAGGACTTGGACCAGATGGTCTAGTAGGTACAGCAGGGTTGGAAATAAGTGCCTGAGCTAAATGCTGCTTAAAATGGTGTTGCCACTGAAGTAATGTGTCTGCAGTTTGAGCCAGAGACAGGAGAAGGTCCTGCACCCCCTTCTTCTGCAGATGTGCCTGAATTGCTCGCTGCATGTGGGCTTGCAGCTGGGCTCTGCTGGGGAAAAAACTACCATATGAAAATGCTGCCTTCCAGAACTATGTAGATACCTAATAGGAGTTTGGGCCTTCTCTGTCATGAAATACAGCAAATTAAAGAAATTTGATGCTGCCACTGTTGTTTCTTACCTTTCTGAATTAAAAGAGCAAAAATACAGTCTGTATACTGTCAAGTTCCCGTGGTGGTTTCCATACCAGAAGAGTAACATCCCAGAACTTTCCCTGACTCTGATCCTGTTGTGCACAATCTCATTCAGTGCAGCAATGGGACAGCAGGCCCAGAAGGTTGATGCTGCTTTTGATAATACGATCAACATCATACAGCGTACAAATATGACTTACACCCAGGGTACCTATACCTGTATTGCAAGGGAAGGTTTAGTCCACCTATCAATAGACCAGCTTTTCAAGACCTTGAGATCTGCTTGTAGACATTCATATAATCTCATTGGGAAACTGAGGACTCTCCAGCTGGATGTGTGTTCCCAGGAGTTGACACAATAGGGACTGGGATACTCCATGCCAGTCAGGCTGGATGTGCTGGTGGCATAACAAAAAGCTGAACCCTGAGAACATGTCAAAGGGAGAGGTGGGGGAAGCTGTGACAGGGAGTGGCCTTTGCTGTGAACAGCACACAGCTTGACAGATGCTGGCAAATTGTGCTGTGGGAATGCAAGATGCCACCACACCAGGGCTCTGCTGCTAATGAGTGAGGTGAGATGCATTAGTTACACAAACATGTATTGCCTTCTGCTACCTTTGCAATGGAGTGAGGCCCCTCCAAGAAGGGCTCATTTTAACATGTTAGCATGTTAAAACCCTGCAGTGAGTTCCGTCAGCCCTCATCTGTCCAAGACTGGAGTTTCCTGACTGCTTTGTGTTTACCCTCTTCTTGCAAGGCCAAATTACCACCCAGCTCTCCAGGGACCGCTGGCACAGACCTTTCTCCTTTTTCTACACCCAAGAGCCCTTGCCAGACTGTCGCCTGTCAGGCTGATCGCCTCCCAGCAGATGGCAAGCGCTCATTGCCGATGCACCCAAGAGCAGCAGCACTCCTCAGCCTTGACAGCTCCTTCTCTTAAGAGACAGGCTGTCCTGGCTCATCCAAGACATCTTCCCGCAGGAGGAGATGGTGGCCTATGATGTGCAAATGCCCTGCATTGTTCCCATGGTTTCATCCTGCACCTCCAGCCAGGAGGTGATCCCTTGTCTGACTAAAAGAAAAAAGGAGCAGGTTCAGGAAAGCTGTTTCCTGGTGCCCTGTATGCCACCTGGTTGCCAGCACCAGCTTTGCCAAACCCTGTTGAGAAACCTCAGACCCGAAGTGCCTCAGGAGGCACAGCTGTGCATGCCATGGGCTATAAAAACACCTGGGAGCTGAGCTTTTTTGGACACCACAGAAAAGGACAGTTTTTCCTTATTCTGGGGAAGAGAAAGACATTATTTCAGTTCTAGGGCAATCATTATTGCACCAAGCCCTCGGCTGGGTTCTTGGCCAGTAAGGCAAAAAAGTAGAACAAAGTCTGTCTACCCAGTTCACTTACCAGCTGGTTGTAGGAAAGTGTCATACCTGTAGCTAATTTTCTTCTTATCTTTTTCCTGGCTCTTGGGCAATACAAACACAAAGCTGGATATGGCTGGTAGGGTGATTTTCCCTGGGTGCCACTCAGGCAGGGTCCTGCACAGGCCAGTGTTGCATCCCTGGAGGTTGGATGCAAGAAGGTTTCTCAGTTGACATGGAACTGCAAAGCCAGGCTGCTCAGGACTGCTCCTGCCCCTGCACCCTGCAGGTAAGTGCCTGCCCTCCAGCAGCTCCTCTGGCTTTCACCCTGCCCCAGATGTGCACGCTGGCAGCTGGACAGGGACTGTCAGGAGACAGCCAGAAGCTCAGCTGGCAGGAGTCAAGGTTACAGCTGCCCTCAAAGGTGAGGGCACCAGTGGTGACATGTATTCCCAAGAGTCTTTATTAGAGGTGCTAAGTCTTCCTCCTGTTCTGACGTGGCTGCTGCAGGTTTCTTTGATCCCTCTCCCAGACCTATAAACTCTTTGCCTCCTTCTTCTGGACTGATGCCCAGGACTTTCATGTATGTACTCAGAGTGAAAACTTTCCCTCCAGGATTTCTTCCCAGGTTTTTTATACTAACCCAAGAGCTTGATCTTATCCCTTCTAGATCAGTGTCATAGACAAGAAAGAAGGAAACACTGCTGCCTAGACCTCTTAGGACAGGAGGGATCCAGCTAGGGAAATTGTACCCAGAGGTGTCTGTCTTTCAGAAGGCAAATGCCTTCGGTGCTGGCATGGGAGAATGTGAAGCTTTCTCACCCCAACTAGTCTGGAGCACAGGAGACTCCCAATTTTTCCTCTACACTTCATGTACAGACTCATACCTTTCCAGAGAGCCCAGCTAGCATTACTGCCAGGACAGAAGTGGGAAAAATCTCATTCCAGCCCTTGCAAGAAGCCAGGAGAAGCTCAGAAGCATGGGATTCAATCACATTTATCGAAATTATAGCCCAGCCTGATATTTTCTGAACAGTGGACAGCTCCGTCTGCAGCCCCCAGAGGAATGAACGTAGATAAGAAAGTGTAAGATACTGGTGGGCCTAGTGCAAGTGCACAGCTTAACCATACATGCATTTGCACTCAGTGTGGTTGTAGGATGAGAGCTGCAACAGGAAGGGATGGGATAGGATGGGATGGGATGTATTCTGTCAGGCAGCTCTCTTTCGCCTCCTCTCAATTTCCCCACAAACTGCAACATCATTTGTTCTGCTGACCTCGGGACAAAAGAAGCACTTGAAGAATGACATTTCCTCAGTGAGGCAGTGGGTGTGCTCCTTCAGTGGTATCAAGGACAAGGGAGGCACCAGTAAGGCAGGGAAACTACCCACGAGGGGACATTACAATCCTGACAGCATCTCAATTGAGTCATTATAAGGTTTCTCCATGCTGCCCATGCCACTGCTTTGGTCTGCTCTGCAGGACACATGATGACATTATTTTTAATTAATCTCTGCTTGTCTGCCTTATGCTAAGGTTTGGAGTCTGCACGCAGGTGACACTGAAGCTGAAGAGTGGGAGGCCCTTTACTCTGTTTTATTCCCTGTGAGCTCAGTTTCTTGCTGTAGGCTCAGTCTCTCAGCTGCAGGTACAAGGGAGGCTCAGGAGATGGAAAACAAAATGACAAAAAGAGGTCAAAGCTAGCAAGCTCAGAAAACTTACTACAATGCCTTCCCTTCTCACATAAGATCTCTGTGTGAAATGGTTGGTGGCAAGCCCTGCCCTGCTCACCATGCCCACGTGTGCCCATGCACGGGTCCATGAGAGGTAGCAAGTATTTTTTATCTGTCTCTGAATTGTCAGTGATGGGGATTTAGAGAAATAGGGATTACTGACTCGGATATTTGCCCTTCAATCCCTGAAGTGTCTCCTGGCCTTGTCCTGCTCTGCTGTCTCAGCAGGCTCTGGGTCAAAGCTATCTGCCTTCCACTGCAGTGAGCAGCTGGACTTCTCCCTGCAGGAGTTTGCTTTCTCTACGTTCAGCACTTCTTTGCTCCCTCACAGGACCTGCAACATGCACGAGCTCTGCTCTGAACTTCTCCAATGGTTTGGTACCCGCAGAACAAATCATCTTCTGATCCTCCTTCTTGTTCAGCCAGCAAAGGCCCCCAGAGCTCCTGAGAGTCAGACAGTGCTCAGGAGTAGGACTTCCACCTCTTCTGAAGGACAGGAATTGTTTCCCCCTCTCTGTTCAAAATACTTTGGTGACATCTATATTAACGAAAGAAATATGCTATGGACCTATCCCTGGCACTGAGGTGGACTGGCACAGAACAGTCATCTATCAAGCTCTTTTATACTTCAAAATATGATGGCCATGTGCAATCTGTGTATCAGGAGGGGTGTCTGGCACATCTTGACTCTCAGATCAGGGACAGCAGTGGCCAGGCACTGCTCTAACAGCATGGCTACAGAGAAAATGAAGTGCCAGTGACCTAGGAATGTATCTGGCACTTTCACTTTTCAGTCAGTACTAGTCTGAAGATTGTCCATCTATACAGCCAATTTGTACTGCTAGGCTAAGCCTGCTAGCAGGCCATTTAGTTCCAGTACTGACCTTCTGCAACCCATCCTTCCCCTTTATCTCTTAGCCCTCTTTCTCTCAGCAAAACTCTTTTCCACACATCTCCTTTCTTTCACTCTGAAACATTGCCACACTGAACTGTGCACGTTCCAGCTCTCCTTCTCCTCATTGGTACATCTATAGGATTTGCTTCCTATCTATACTGCCCTGATACTGAGGTCCAGCTGAGGGTTTTGGACTCTACCTCATGCCAGTGTCCTCAATGGGCTTGTGCAGGAGAATTTGTTTCTCCTGTACAGATCCATTGTAAAAATGTTGAAGAATTGCTTCCTTCTTTTCCAATGGACTTAATTAGGCCTTGCTCTTGCCCCTTTCCTCAGAAGATCACAGCACTGTAAGCTAAAAGCAGACACTGGAGCATCTCCAGTGCCTGAGGCACCAGCAGCATCCAGTAAGAGATTATGCTGGGTCCACCCTGAGAATTCTAGCAGGGGGTATTGGTACCAAGCACCAGAAAAGACTCCAGTTCTGTGGGATTTTTCATCTCTTCTGTAAGGGTTGTCTCACCCTCACCTTCCGTCTCTTCCCCCATTACCTCCTATCCCCTCTTTTGTTTGCACAAACCCTCCAAGGAACTAAGGGACACTCAAATGACCACATACTACTCTGCAAGATCCTTGCTGCAGCACTTTGCTTTGTTTCTTATTTCAAGTGTCAGCTCTGTCAGGCAAGGCCACCTCTTGTGCCATAGTCTGCAAAAAGCCTTGCGCAGCAGAGCCATGATCTTGGCAGCCATGATCTTAAGTGCTACTCTAAAGCAAATAAATAATCAGTCATTGTTACCTTTTTGTATCTGGGAGTCCTCTCTAATAGGCCTTGATACTATTACAGTATTGAGGACAGGCTGAAATCAGATAATAGTACTCTCAGCTGGCATATATTCCCTTGGAAACACAGGTAAAAATGCATTTAATACCTCTCCAGTGACAATGAATATTAATTAATATGACACAAATGTATAGTTGATTTGAAAATAAGGACACTAATTAAAGAGCTATTAGGGTTAAAAAGCAACAAAGGAAATTCAGCTACTGAATGAGCTGTTCTGGGTTCAGCTTCTAACCTGTCCGTGCATGGCCTGAGATTTTCCACTTTATTTTACATATAGGCAGACTGTGGGTTTTGCCTTCCCTTCCCAAACTGTCATCTGGAAATGTCCTGAAGAATTCAGAATTCATTTTTCCTGCTGTCTCACAGAGCAACTGTGCTCCACTGAGGTGCTGCTCATACTCTGTCTCATTGACTGCTCCAGTGGCGTTGAACCAACAAGAAGTGAAAGGGAAACTTTCTGCAGGCTTTTGGGAAGAAACCTATTTGTAAGTGATTGCTTATATTCATTATTCCTGTTAAAATAGCCTTGGGGATCACTGGTCATGATAGCTGCCTTGCTGTAATCTCTGAAAATCTCCATCCTTCAAGCCATGACATTAAAGTCGAATTTCTTACTGAGGTTTCACAAAGGCTCCTTTGCAGGGGTGACTTGTGACAGTGACCTGAGCAGAGTGTGTTATGAGTGAGTCAGGAGAGAGGCAATGGCACTGCTGTGCATGGAGGGAGGCATGGAGGAGCAGATGTGTCCAAGGGCATCAGCAGCACTGCAGGACTGAGCAGTCCCATTGCTTGATGACAACCAGGACAAACCCCGTGTAATCTCACCCATTGTGTCCCAGTGGATGCCCCACCAGTCTTGTCCTGGTGCAGGCAGAACCTGCAGGCTCTCAGCAGAGCTGTGTCCCTCAGGAACAGGGCAGCACCTGGGAAATAGCAGGCACCCCAGCTAACAGAGGAAAAGTGAGATGGACATCCTCCAACCTCCAATGCCCAACTGTGCTGTGCATCACCTCTCCCTTTCTGGGGAGGGTCTCTCAGGCTAGTTTTGCCACCAAAAACATTAGGGCAGAAAACGAAGCAAACTAGATGGAGAGGCAGACCATTATTTTAATTTCTAGCCCAGTAGCATAAAGGTAAATAAAAAAGTGAATCAACCCATTGGGCTGGTGTTTCAGGCTGCTCAGTGAGGAGAATTAACTGCATATTGCCTAAATTAAAAGCAGACAAATTGTATCTGCCTTCGCCCTAAGCTAACCCGACTGACTTCCAGCACAGCAGCGCCCAGTGCAGACACGTGTCTAAAGCCAGTGACAGAACCGCGGCACGAACCTGTCCGGCTTCTCGCAGCCACCTCGGCAGTACTTTCCTCTCCTGCACAGGTACACGTGTGTTACAGAAGGCAGTCCTGAGCTGGCTTTGTCACCAGGCCGATCAATTTCCTCGGAAATAAATGATAAAGCTGTGTTCTCTGCCTAGACGGGCTGGTTTTGGAGGAGGAGGATTTTTTGGTTTTGTTGGCGGGGTTTTTTTCTGTAAAAAATTACAGTTCTGTGCTTTAGGCAGCGTTTTGCTGATTCAACTTAATAGGGGTTATCCTTCTAATAAGAGAGACTGCCAGTCTTTGCTTTTCTTAGGAACCTAACCCGAGCTTTTCCAGAGGCAGGGGAACGTGATATCTCAGTCCTTACTAATTTTAACCCATTGTACAGCTATCCCTCGGCCGCGCGCTGCAGTATCTCTATCGGGGCTGACGAAACTCACGCCCCTGGAAATCGGCGTGTT